AAAGTCTCCTTTTAATTTGTTTTTTAAAAAAAGCGCTTGACAAACTTGCCCCGCATGCCGAAGTTGCCCCGATCTCCCCTATATGATGTCATAATGACCCAATTGTAAAATTTACTTCTATTGTTCTGTAATCTGCTCGATATTTCTTTGTTATCCTGACAAGACCAATGTGGTGACAAAACGAATTTTGTAATTTTATTTATTGAATGAGTTATTTGAATTCAAAATTTGCCATGCAAATCCTATGGTCAGATCTTTGAGTGCAAGTTAGTCCCACGCTACGTGTCAATGGAGTTTGCGATTGCTGTCAAATTACATCGATCAATTCTACAATTCTTCACGATGGGAGTGTAACATGTGCAAAAATTCGACTTTTGAAAACACGCACACATCTGTTCTACGTTCTCAAATTTGCGTGTTTTAACCAGTTTCTAAATTTACTTGTAGGCCGCTGGTTGTAATTTGAAAGTATATTCAACTTTCTTTCTGATATGAAGTTGGACATTCACGTCTTCCCTCTAACTAGCAGGTTTTCAAGTGCTTTACAAAACTTAGTACTGAATTGTATTGATTTACATTTATAATGATGGCTCTTCCATTTAAAATTTGATCTTAATATAAATACGTCTATTGATGTTAGTATTACATAATCGAAAAGTTTGTATTCATAATTTTTAGGAAATAAATTCATAACAGCGATTTATTCCTAGAATTGAATTATTATATGTTATAATTAAACATTCATCATGTATAAACCTTGCAGAAATCAATCCGAAAAATGAAAACTGCTGAACATCAGTAATTCCATTCTAAAATTTTTCACTCAGATAATTACTTAATAAATAATTCTTACCTCATTACTTTTGTTTCTGTCTTCAATTTTATCATTCATATCACATTGAAAACTTTCAATTTTATCATCACCATCATCATGAAAAACCGCACTCTCTAAATCAATGCTATTTTCAGAAACTTCTTTCTTTGGTAATATTCCTGTATGCATTTCTAAATTTTCCAATTGTTTAAAATTTCCAATAGATTCACATTTTCCCTGAAATGTATTTATCGTGTACATAAATACAATTACTTCTATGCTTTGAAATATAAAAATATTATATACCTAAAAATGTGCACCAATTGAATCCCGAAATGTCATTATTAAGCAGCTTACCAATTTTTACTGAATTTATCGGTTACAATTACCGCGATTGCGGCCGACGTTTTCCTCTCTAAAATAACATGAACGTGAATGTCGATCTTGTAAGCGATGCTCGACGTTCGACGTCACGTCCTAGAGTGGAAAACTTCGGCCACAACTTCGCAATAATTTTATTAGTGGTATGTTCTGGTTTTAAACTGGTAATGCAATTCCTATATTTATGCAGTTCCTATAATTCAATTTCTTTTTATATACTTCTGTGCATAGAAAGAAAGACAATGTAACTGTTTTCAAACTCACAACTGTACAGTGGATATAAACCAGTAAATACTAGTCTTTGCCCAGGATTTTTACTTCACCCACAGACTGGCTGAATGCAGTTTTTCACAAATTTTCAACACGTTTCTATACTGAAATAACTGTCATTCTCCCGAAAACAGCCCTCCCGAAAATATTTTTTCGGCATATAGTCAATAAATAGATTAAGAATGTCGTTATTACCGTAAAGACTAATTTACAAAACAAAACTAATAAACAATTAACGTATTCACCTTTTTTAACGCTAAAATTTTACACGCAGAGTTTAAAAATTGTATTTGATGCGTAACTAGAATGCATATCTTGTCTTTCAAATATTCCATTATACACCTGAAATAAATTGAAAGTTAAAATGTATCGAAATGTTCAAAAAGTATATTTTAAATAATTACTTTTCGAAGATATGTTTTGCCACTGGAACATCAACAGCACTCAGTGGATCATCCAGGAGGAAAATATCGGCATCCACATATAGCGCTCTGGAAAATATAAAAATGTATCACCATCAATAAATAAATAAAACCATTCTTTGTTATATCTTTTAATAGTGTTTTGCGTGTTTTATATTACGAAGTAGAAGAGAAAGCGTCAAATAAAGTATAGAACATTAGCACACGATGTTCCTACTATCAAGTCACGAAATAACCAAAATAAGTGGTTTATGTGATAAGAGATAAATATTTTATTTGTTTTATTTTGAACAAATACACCACGAAGAATTTAGAAAATATCACTGAGAAGTGAAACGATATAGGATTCAGATGAAACTTTTTATCAGGATGTTATAACTATAATCAAAACTAGTATACTTATAAACAATATATGAGTTTGATCAAAATGTATTTATTATTTCTGTATATTTGTCTTATTTCTATTAAAATTGTACTTTTATATTTGCAAACATCGAAATATTATTTTACGTAAGATTTGTCTAACCTTGCTAAATTAATTCTTGCTTTCTGCCCACCGCTCATTATCACTCCTTTCTCTCCTACGATTGTCTTATCTCCTTTAGGAAATAAGCTAATATCCTAAAAATAGAAAAAATGAACATACAAGATAATATTGTTCAATATAATGTGCATTGACAACTTTACTAAAATTAAACATAACTATTGATTTTTAAACGTATTTGACTTATGAACGGTGTTTTGATAGTTAAATTTGTGTCTTTTGTATTCAAATCATTATTTGGGCTAATAATATTTAATTTTATGTCATGCCTCCTATAACCGCTTTTTATTAAAGTCCAATACTACAAAATCAACTTTTTTATTTATCTTTTTTTATTAAAAAAACTTTTATTAGTGTTGGACAAACCACTTTTCGTCTAGAAACGAAGTATAGATTCCAAAGTATAGTTTATAAAAGTATAGCTTTTAAGAGTAAAAATCATCTTACCTTTTCTAGTGCCGTTATATGCAAGATTTTTCTATATTTGTCTTCTTGATATTCTTCTCCAAACAAGATGTTTTCTCTGATAGTTGCGTTGAACACCCAAGCTTCTTGAGAAGCATATGAAATCTTTCCTTTCACGGACACTTCACCAGAAGTAATTGGAATCTCTCCCAAAACGGACATTAGTAAAGACGTCTATCGAGATTAATGTCGCTTTATTGTTGGTAACGACATGTTTTACGTAAATAATATAAGTACATAAACATTTTAAAAGTATTTACGTATTTGTGTAAAAATATTATTTCAATTATTAATTGTTTTCTTTTAAAACGCATGTAGTGTAAAGAGGTGACACAACATAATCTATGAATTCCTAACAGAAACTGTAACAGCACATTCATGAATCTCTAAGATTTTATCTGCAAACAAACTTTCATAGAATACATCAATTAATTAAATCATAATGGATAATCTTCCATTATGATTTGATTGTTTACGCGTGCAGAATATTCTTGCGACAACGTTAGACGTGTTTATGAATAAATTTCTGATCTACGCCAAAAACTAATCTGTCGTACATATAATCAAATGAAAAATAATAATATCAATAGAATCATACACTCAATAATTAAACATCAGTATATGAAATCTAATCTCTATTTATGACGTGTCCGCTGACATTTCAAATTGAAGATCAAATATGATTCTACAGTTCTGTATTTCATAACAACTAAATAGGATCAATAAAAACAGATTGGAGACAATTTTAAAAAATAAATTGTTTAATGTTACACAATTAGAAATTATGCAACAAGAATAACTTTTATGTTATGAATAATTTCAGAAAGTTTTCTAAGACGAAAGCTAAGTAATAAAAACTTCGGTATTTATAATCTATACTAGCTGCAAGGACCCGCTTCGCTGGGTTTTTATTTGTATGTAATATAGTTTTTTTTTATATATATAAAAGACTGTTTTTCTAAGAAATCTAGAATCTAGCAGCAATAACCCACTTCGCTGGGCATAAAGTAACGATAGTGAAGATTAAGATAACTACATTATAGCTAATCTTACCCGTTTTCACAGAATGCAAGAATTAGGTCCCCCGTTTCCAGACTAATTAGATAATTTTTACGTCCATTCAAACGAACTATTTTCAATTTGATCCATTTTCTGGAACGTTTATAATCGTAACATAATCGAACCAATTCGAATTTAAAACGGTTCGAACATTTTTAAAATCGAAATAGAAAATCTTCAAAGTCAATCACTTTAAGCCCCCATATCTCCCGCACCTTTATAGCTATCGAGACGCAACCACCATAGTGCACGAATGGAGGAGACTTGGGGCTACTAATACATACAAACACCATTCATGTGCGATGTGCAGTTTTGGCGGAAAAGTGAAATATAGGGACACACACGTCCTATTATATATACGAGGGCTGTTCAAAAAGTATCGGACCTTTGCTCGGCAAAAATACATTTATTGATTTTGAGGTACAAAACCCTAATCCCCTTCAAAGTAGTCTCCTAAGTAGGGTATACACTTCTCCCAGCGTTCCTGCCATTGCTGTAAACACTGCTGTGACGCATCTTTTGGAATGGCCATCAGCCGGTCCGTCGCATTCCGCACGATGTCTTCTCTCGACTGAAATCGGGTTTCTTTTAGCGGCATTATCAGCTTGGGAAATAGCCAAAAGTCACACAAAGCCATGTGGGGAGAGTACGGAGCGTGACGAACCACAGGAGTGTTGCGTTTGGCGACGAAAGCCCGAATCAGATGTGCAGAATGGGCGGATACGTTATCGCGATGAAGGTGCCAAGTTTTGATCGACCACAGATCCAGTCGTTTGCGTCGCACAGCATCGAAAAGACGACGAAGGACTTCCTGGTAGTATTCCTTTGCGATGGTTTGGCCTTGTGGTGCGTACTCATTATACACCACCCCACGAGAGTCGAAATAACTGTCAACATGACCTTGATATTGCTGCGGATTTGCCGCGCTTTTCTCTGCCTCGAGGATCGTCCCCAAAAGCCTGCTGAAACTTGCGAATGGTTTACGCTTGAATATCGCCAAGGTTTTTGGCAAAATTTGATGTAATATCGCTGCTCACGTTGTTCAGTCATTTTCCAGCTTAGTGAAATCCGACGAGAGCGCACTACATGACCTCACTCATACGCCGATTGCCAACGACTGACGCTTTCTGCAGGCGGGAAAAAATTCAGGGCTGTGCATGACTGTCCCCTCCA